AGCAGTCCTTTCATTCATTACCCTGATACCTGCCTGGACTCTCAGCTTGGAATCTCCCAGAGCAGCAGTGAAGCTGTACTCTATCAGTTTGCTCTAAACTTGCTTTGCATTATGTTTATTCTGCTGTGGTACCTCTACACATCCAACTCGATATGCTATTTATCCTTCAAAATTCCCTCAAAACCTCTGGTTGCCTTATGGCACCTTCTTGTGTTTTCTAGCACTTTTCAGATTTTTTTTCTTTTTCTAACATCTTCTCTGTTGCTTCAGCATATCACAACAATACATAATAGGTATCATCAGTGTCTTCTGAGGAAAAGTGTACTATGCTAAAATGAAAAGATGACCGTGATGTATTCGTTCATTTAAAAATCCATTCATCTATTCCATAGTTTTTAATGAGGTCTGTCAGGTGCTAGGGCATAGTCCTGAGCATTTGGAAACAGCAGTGACAAAACAAAGTTCCTCTTTTCAAGGAGCTTACATTTTAGAGGGTCATCAGGCCTTTAAAAAACACAAGCTGAAGAACAATATAAACAACACAATAGCACCTTTGTGTGCACATGGGTGTGTGTACACTTGTATGTGTGTGTATATAATCTTCAGAAGTCAGGACTGGAGAAGCAATATGTGCGAAGGTTTGTTTCAACTGCCTTTGTTAATATTTCTGTATTGCTTATTAGCACAATTGACTTAGGTTCTCTTCTAGGCACCAGTGAACAAAGCAAGCAAATATTTCTGCCTACTTGGAAATCATATTCTAACAACAAAATTCAGATATGAAATAATAAATGTAATAAATGAGTACCTTATGTAGTAAATTAGCAGGTTATTAAGGACTACAGAAAAATAGAACAGAGTAAAGGAAATTTCAAGATGATAATAGAACAAGCAGCACTGGGTTGTAATTTTAAGTAGGGTGGTAAGGGTAGACTTCATTGAGGAAGTAACAGTTCAGTAAAAAGTGAAAGCAGTATACTTGAAAAAGGAGGGGGCAGAGTATTCCAGGCAGAAGGAACAGCAAATGCAAAGGTTTCAGTGTGGAAGCAAGGCTGGCATGTTCCAGGAAGGAGCCAGTGGGCCTGCACCTGAGCAAGCAAAGGGGACAGAAGTGAGAGGTGAGGCTGGCGAGGAATGGGAGGAGGGGGTTGGTGCAAAGAATGGCCCTTTAGCTCAGTGCAAGGACTTGGCTTTCATTGCAAGAGAATTTGGAAGCCATCAGAAAGTTTTTGAGAGGAGTGAAATTATCAGACACATTCTGAAATGATCACTGGGGCTCCGTTAGAAGGGAGGCAAGACGGAGGCAGGGAGGCCCGCTGGGTGAGCCTTGTAATGATCGGTACAAGGTGACGGGATGGTGGTAGACTCACTACAGACCCGTCAGACTAAAGGTCCAGCCAACAGGACTTCCTGATAAACTGATGTGGGTTTTGGAAGGTTAAAGATGCCTCCATGGCCTGAACCTGAAAAATAGAACTGCCACAACTGAGTTAAGGACTATGGTGGGGGGCAGGGGGGAAGGTGAGTGGAGATCAGTTTCATTTAGAATCTGCTAGATTTGAGATATCATTTCTGTATCCAATGAAGATATTAGTAGGCCACGAGGTTTGGGGATCTGAAGTCCAGGAGAGAGCTCCAGGGCAGAGATTATAGTTTGGGAGTCATGAGCATGGATGTGTTGTATTTTCAAAAATTTGGAAAGAACATTTTGGGAGGTTGGCGGCTAATTTTCTTACTACATGTAATTGTCCATATCTTTGAATGCTTTGTCTTACTCAAGTTATCAAGTGTAAACTACGATGCGTGTCCCCTCCTCTCTATTCCCTCTGCCATCTCCCTAGTTCAATGATCTGTCACCTGGTTGCGATGCCCCTGTCTCCCATGGATTTCCCAAGGCATTCCACACCCAGCTACCAGATCGAATGACTAAAACACGCCTGTGACCTTGCAGTGACTCCGCAAGGATCACTTGCCACCTGGTGAATTAAAGAGTCAAACACTTACCCTGCCATCACAATGCAATCCGAGCCCACCTTCCCAAACCTAAAACTCATTCGTTCTGCAAGTCCCCTTCACACGCAACCATGTTCTTCACACTGGTCCTGCCTCAGTGTCTGGTGCATACTGGTTCCTCCATGAGAACACCATTCCCCTGAAAATACCTAAGCCTTGCCCATTCTTCATGACATGATACAAATGTCACCAACTTCAGGAGACCTCAGTGGACTGGCCCAGCTGGAGATAAGCTTTCCCACCTCTTACTCCTTACTCCATGGGGGGCAGGAGAGTACAGCCCGGGCAACATTTCCCAAAATGACAGCAGGAACAAAGATACCAGCCCCAAAGGAAATCCTGGCAGCAGAGGGTTCCGTGGACAAACAAGCTCCTAATACCCCACATGGCAGCCCTCTCTTAGAAATTCATGTTATGCACTCACATATTGGATGCCCTCAAAAGTCCTCTGGTAAGGAACAATAGATAACCTGTTGAAACCTCTTTCACAAATGTATTTGACTTTGGAAGCCTTTTGTCAAAGAATACTTATTGGAATTCTATGGAACTAGGATTCTAAGGTTTTCACACAGTACTTGGACCTAGACCTGAATCCTACCTGAATTCCAGTTCTGATTAAGCACCTGTCTGTGCTGGTTTTCCCGAGGCCCAGGCAACAGTGTATCCCAACACAGGTGACAGGTCCCCAGGCCCTGGCAGGGAAACCAGACATCCCAGCATCTATAGGGCAACCACACATCCCAGGACTGGTGTCTCCTAGACCCTGGCACTAGCCTACTAGGTTTTGGAGGGCCTGTCCCTCTGGTTCCAAAGGACGAAATGGAATACTTCCCCCACAATGACTTATGGACACACAGGTTACGTTGCCAAATTACTAGCTGTGTGACCTTTCTCAGGTCACTTCTCTATGGACCTCAGTTAACTCCTCTCTTCAATGAGGTGGCCTGTCTGAATGGTGTCCAACGCTCCATCCCGCTGTGATGAACTGACTGTATGTGTCCTTCCTCAAACCGTATCTACTTCTGTACGTGGCCTCTCTTCCCTACTATTCCCATAAAGGGGGAAGTCTCTTTCCACATTAGGAGTTTGCTCCCTTCAGAGCCTGGCACAGGCCCTGGGATGTGGTTGGAACTCAATAAATACATGCTACAGAAGTTTTTAAAGATGAATGAGGCATTTATTCATCTTCTAATTTATTAAAATTAAATGGAATCTAAGCCAAAGGTTCTGGTCAAATAGCAAGTACTACAGAGAAACAATTCTGTATCATCTTCTAGCACTCCCACTGGCAAAGGAGCACTGCCAGGACCAGTGACACCGGCACCGTCTCCAAAGTGAGCTGCAGTTCTCAGTGGCTTGTGTGTCAGAGTTCCCACCCCACCCGCATTCAGTGGGTACTAATATCACCATCCCCATTTTACAGATAGGAACACTGAAGCCCGAAGCTGTTCAGTAACTCTTCAGGAGTCACCCAGGTGTCAGGAGAGAGATTCAAACCCAGCAGCCCAGCTCCAGAGCCCACACCTAACCACTGCACAACCCGTCTCTCACTGGCATTTGCTCACGTGAGTCCCCACCAACCCCCAGTTATTACCCAGGCAGAAACTGAGGCCCAAAACGGCATCAAGATTGCTCCCTGTCTTGCTGTTAGCTGTCCAACCACAGGTTTCTTCCCATGATACATCTTTGATAGACAACATAGCTCAGCAGGCTCACCTCACTGCAATAAACTCTGGGGTCAACACTGCTGAGGAAAGGGCACCAGAGCAGAGGGGCAGCTGTGATCAGAGGCAACGCATGTAGTAGTGAAGATAAAGAATTAAAATTGGCAATGAACTGAAAGGAAAGGGAGTATTCAAGGGCACAACAAAGCAAGAAGTGATGACCCTTTAACACCATGTGGAGGGAAAGAAAGGGGTGTGAGAAGCCTGGGTTGGTGGTAGAATAGACAGGCAGAGCCCAGGGGTGGGAAGGCAGACAGGAAGGAGTTTAGGAAGGACAGAAAAATCATGTTATTTGTAATTGCATACATTTTTAACACTACTTCAGAATTACGGAAAAGTATGCCTTACGATCCCACACAGTCTAGTTTGGGATTGGGAAGGTTTAACTGCAGCAGCATTCATGAGAGAATCAGGTGTGTGTGCGGCTCGAAACAGACACCCAATGAATGTTTGTTCCAAAGAAAGGAGACAAAAAGAGAAAAATCTGAGCATTCCTTTCACAAAGAGAAAGGCACCTAAGGGAGTAGGTGCTCAATCAATATTTTTATCTGTGTGCCGTAAGAAGCCCCGTGAATTGTAAAAGATTATCTGATATCTTTCCAAAGAACCCTCAACCTCTGATACTGATTCTGGAAAATTCTGGAAGCTGTGGAATCTCTCTCTGGGGACTTTTAAGAACACATTCTTAAAGCAACTGCTCGGAGGTAGGTGGGTCAGATGATTTCACAAAGGATCTATGGAGGTAGAGAGGCTGGACCAAATGACTCTGAAATCTTCTTCAGTTCTCATTGCCAGGTACTCCCCTCGGAAGCCCTAAATTTCCACTCTGCTCTCCCCGGAACAGAAATGAGCTGGACAGACCAGCAGACACTGTCATTCCATCAACTGAGGATGGCCGAGTGATTTGGAAACGTTCCAGAAAGGCTTGGCTACATTGTAGGCCATTTATTTCATGAAGAAATAAACCAGAGAGAGACCCTTTCAAATATGCACACAGAAAGCAGGACAAAATGCTGAGATTATCTGCTCAGAATTTGCTTTAAAAGAGCCCAGAGAACACTCATTTATTTTTGAGAAAATATATGATTAACCATAGTTAACGATGAATTCAGATGTTGTGCATTAGACCAGCTCCTCAAAGTTTGAGAGCATTTAATATTATATATCGCTGCCATTTGGACTAAATTGTTTTTTTAATGTACACAATATTACAAATTTAATTTGAGCTGTTTGAATCAGTCTGTAAGAAAGATTTGATTATACCTGAGTGTTCTGGCCCCGGCTCTTCCGTATCTCAGTAATCTTGGCGGTAATTGGCTGATTAGGCGTCTCACACTCCATCTTTGCCTCAGTTTCCATGGTAATGTTACAAGAGCTATTATAGATGAGAACTTCATCTCTTTCCACTTTAGGGCTGAAACGAGAGGGGAGGTTAAATGGGGTGTCATCAATCTTAATGAAATGCAATTATTTTTACTCTTATTAATCATTGCAAGCCATTAGCTTGTGGCAACTACAGGCCACCATTTGTCAAATTTTGCAAATTTCTGTAATTTTGTTTCCATTCTTTTATTGTTTATTTGTTTTCCTTTTATCTGCACACCCTGCAATGACAATACACATGGTAAATATCTTTCACTAGGCCTTTCTCTTTTCCAAATCCATTAGGAACATTAGCAAAAGCTTCTCCAACCCCACCTTAACAAGCCAGGCATGCACAGTACTTTCAGTTCCAAAAATGGAAGCAAATGTTGGAGAGAGTTGGGTTTTTGGTTTTTTTTTATCTTTTCCCCTTTCCTCTTTCTGTTCTTACTCACACTTAGTATTGGGGGAGTGAATTGCCTGAATCCCCCCAGGGCAGATGGAGAAATTGGAAACCCATACAACTGGCTAACTGGTCCCTAATTCCAACTGTGAAAAAATGAGCTCATTTAGGCTTTCAATTCCCTCTCCCCAGCTGATGGCAATGAGGCTCTGTTGCTAGCAGTGGAACATTAACTTAGTAAATTAATTAAACTTACTTAACAGCCCAGACTAAGGAGATTCGATATATGTGCCAGTTATACTACCAGCCACTCACTTTAAAAGTCCTCTTGCTCTGAATAAAGAATCCAGACTGGATTTAAAATGAAAAGCAGCAGTGTAGCACTATAGAAAAATCTAAAAATATTCAGTCTAGAGGAGGTGAGAGCATGGATATAGAGGATATTTTCCCCAACAGGTGTGATATTTAGTCAAGAATAATCCTGGCTTCAGACATTGTTGCAACTAACTCAAAGATTATTAGTAATAATGCATGGTGTTTTATGCTTTTCAACAATTTCATGTGTATGATCACATTTCAGCAGGTAAAGTAGACAGAGACATTACAATCAGTAACCCAAAGAGATCGGGGGATTTGCCTAAAGTCAAACACAAAAGTACAGCATCTCTAAGATTAGAACCCAGCGTCCTGTCTTCTACAGCAGTATTCTCAGGTTTTGCCATGCCGATTGAACATCAGCCACAAAGAGGGCAGATCCTGTGGGAAAACCAGGAAGGGTGATGAAAAGGGCAAAAGGTCACTGATTGAGAGACTATAAATCATGTGGAACTAGAGCACCTCTTTTCACATCAGTGTCAAAATGATTCTCCCACAGTTTGCTGGAAGTATTGAGCAGGATAGCTACCATACCTACTTATTCCATCTTCTTCGTGGAAAAATATTCCCAACTCCAAATCCACCCAATGGTGACTTCCCCACTGTTCTCTAGACCTCTCACAGATTGTCAATATTTCAGCATCATGTGGCCCAGAACTGAACATACATGGCTTACGCTGGGGTCTCCCTTCAGCTGAGCCTTCCCTCCTATGGCACCCAGCACTTCTGTGGTTCATTTTGTAGCCCCATGCTTAAATTAAGACGGTGGTAATCTCAACATCTTAGAGCCACAAGTACCTGAGAATTTCCCCACACTGTATTTGTTCAGCTGATATCCCGAGAGGCATTAGGAGACAGAGGTTAGGCTTAGAAGCAGACGTGGTAGATTTGAATTCCCAAGCAGTTATTCACCATCTGTCTGACATACTAAAGACATGACTCTCTAAGCTTTGGTTTACACATTTATAAAGCGGAGTTACTAATCACGAGAGTGACTATTTACAGAGCTGTTGAGAGGACAGAGTGAAATGCAGCTGACAATGTGATTTGCACAGAATCTGGCTTATAATAAGTGTCCAATAAAGGCAGGTCTTGCCATAGTTTTTGTTGGTAGCGGTGGTGGTGGTATTATTATTGAAATGTAAATGTGCGAACTTACATTCATGATTGTTACATGTTATCTCGCTGATGTGCACCCATTGCTCCAAAACACTTTGAATCTGGAGCCTGTAATGTAGCTACAAATCTACTCAACTAAGCCATCATCCAGTGGGTAGACAAAGCCACAGGATAACAACAGCATCTGCTCCTGGAATGCCGGTTGTGTGAGCTCTCTCTGTATATTTCCATCACAAATTGCTTATAAACCCATGAGAAAAGAAAAGAAGTTTGGTTTGCCACACCATCATGTTCCTTGTGAATCAGTTCCCAGAGAGCTGTAGATAGTCGCCTAAATACAATAGTTCACCTTAACAATTTTTCAACTTCATGATGGAGCAAAATCAATATGTATTCAGTAGAAACTATACTATAAACTTTGAATTTTGATCTTTTCCTGAGCTGACAATATGCCGTTTGATGCTCTCATGATGCTGGGCAGCAGCACTGAGCCACAGCTCCCAGTCAGCCACGTGACCACGAGAGTGAACCACCGATCCCCTGTTACACTCACAACCATTCTGTGCCCATACAGCCACTCTGCTTTTTACTTTTCAGTACATCATTCAATAAATTACATAAGTTACATAAGATATTGAACACTTACTTATAAAATAGGCTTTGTGTTACATGATTTTGCCCAGCTGCAGGCTAATGTAACTGTTCGGAGCATGTTTAAGGTAGGTTGGCTAAGCTACAATGTTCAGTAGGTTAGGTATATTAAATGCATTTTTGACTTAAAATATTTTTCAACTTACAATGGGTTCATTGGGATGTAATCCCACCATAAGTCAAGGAAGATCTGTACCTTCATTTCTGAAGACTCACAAACCATATGATGAATAATTCATTATAGAATGTTGTTAGGGATAACATAAGCATAGTTGAAGTTCCCCTTTCCCCTTTTTTAGGAAAATGAAAGAATATTTGCCCATCACCTCTCTCTGTTGTGTGCACGCCTCTTATGTTTATTACCTCAGTGGATCCTCAATCCTACCGACAAGTCTTGTACTTAGCATAGAAATGATCTGGGATGCCACTTGAACTCAAGGAGAGGAGACTGACTTCCTTTACAATCTTTATTGATCATGGGCTTCCACCCTCCTAATGAGCTTTCTTCTGCCTTTTCCAGGCTTTTCATCAACAAGGGGTTCGAGTAAAATGGGGTAAGTTCCTCTGCTCTTCTTTCATTTGTCCTTATCAATTCACTGTCTGCCCTAATCATGTTCCTCTTGCTCTGAAAGAGTTTAAACCCCTTTCTGTTAGCTTAGACTTTTTAAATAGGCATTGGGCTCCTATTTCTTCTTGTATTTTTCCCTGATTATCTCACAAGAGACTTTTTTCATTAAAAAGCCATCACTAAAATTAGCAGATGCACCAGGACATCAAAAACATACTAACATTGACAAAATTTCAAAGTCTCTTAAAGCTACTATTCCGTGTTTTATTCCACAATAATCCTATGAATTAAGTATAAACATAAACATATATGTAAAACATACAGCTTTATAGTGAGAGATACAGAGCCTTAGATGATACAGATGTGCATGCACATACCCATGCACACAGATATTTATTTTGAGGGATTATGGTAAAATCCTTTGCCCCAAATGGTGGCAAAGGGAGTTCTAGAACCTATGTTTCCTGACTCCCCATCTAGTGCTCTTGCAGTTGGTCTGATCAGATCCAAAAGCAAGCAGATAATCTTCTTGGATACGGTCTCCAGATAGGCAATAAAAACACGTGCAGTCCTTCTGTCTCTCTTACTGTAGCCTGAAAATGCTTCCTATGGTTCTGAAATCTCATTGAACCTGCACAACTCCACAAGTCTCTCATCACTGATGCTGACAGTACCGGGTCATGCTAAGTACACTGTGGGTCAGAAGCTTCGAGCTCCAGTCCTGACCCTGCATGCCTGTGTAGACTTCAGAAGATACTTAATCTGTACTTAGAATAGAATCTGAACTCCTTACTAAGGCCTCCAAGGCCTTACATACCTGCCCAAGCTCATCTAGAGCCACTTCCCTTCCTACTGGACTCCTGCCCTTGTGGCCTCTGACCGTTCATGATCCTTGATGGGCCCTTTGCATTTGCTGCCCCCATTCCCTGACTCTCCATACTGACTCTCCTTCAGAGACACCTCTTCTGAGCTCATAGTTTACTGTAGCCCCCCATTATTTCCTATCACTTGATAGCCATTATCACAACCTGCGATCATCTTCTTCATTGTCTGGCTCCCTCTTTACCCTTAATGGCAGGGGCTTTATCACCTTATTCTCTGTTGAGTCACTAACTCCTGGCCCAGTATCTAGAACATAGGAGGTGCTTGAAAAATACTAGGTGAATGGATGGATGGATGAACTGGGCATATTCTTGCCACAGATACATATGCCTAACTTTGCCAAATAACATCAAATCCATCCAGGTAGTGGCTGCCAGAAAGACAGGCATTTAATGGAAATGGGTTCCTTGCAAATATCCTAGAAAGTTGATCTCTGGGTTTGCAAACTATAATCTTAAGAGGAATCAAGGTAAGTCATTTGCTACAAGATTTTCTTAATGCCCTTTGTATAGTTTACAATGTATTTCCTGGATGTTGAATTAGTACATCTTTAGCAGATTAGGAAAAAATACATAAGAACTCAATGAAGAAAATAAACATATGATCACTACTCCAGCCACCTGGGGAGAGGCACCATCAATGTTTTACAGTACATCCTTCGAGCCTTTCTTCTAATCACCTGTTATATGTATATATATGCATTATATACACCATTTGGATTAAATCAGTACACTATTTTGTGACCTGCACCTTTCACTTTCCAAATATTGTAAGCATTTCCCTCTTTGGTTAAATATTTTGCACCATGATTTTTAAAAGCTTCTTAGTATATTATCATTTGAATGCATTCTTTATTACTAAACACATTTCATTTGAATTTTTTGTTATTATTCCTAAAACTCAAGGATAGTTTTTCATAAATATTACATATTTCTAATTGCTTTTGTAAAATCCCAGACATGAAATGACTAGTACAAAGAATTATAGAATGTGATGAAGAAATTATAGAGCATGAAGAATTATAAAGTTATCAGTGCATATTGTCAAGTGATATTAACAGATGAGGGCATTAACTGTCAATAGGGTCTGAGGCTCAACGGCCCCAGCCTCCTCCTAGAGTGAAGACAAAGGGCACAGATCTCCAAAGGACAGTTTGGGAATCTAGATAAAGTCCTCAAACTCAGTGGGGCGAGTGGCTGCCGACATACACATACTTCTTGATACCCAGCATTAGTGAGTCCTGAAATCCAGTCTTACTCCAGCACCCCATTTCCCACGTGGCCTTCAGGCCCGGAGGCTCCTCTCTTCCTCTGTCTAAACACAAACTTCAGGTGGAAAATTCATACTAAAACGAACACTGTCTCTCTCAGGACATCAGAAAGTCAGACAACCATGAAAAAGAATGGTTATCGCTTTCATTCTGGGTAATTGGTCTTGTTTGGATTTATTTTTAATGGGAAAATAGGCCTTCATTAAATAATCAAGTGTAGACTCTGTCTAGATAAAAAATAAAGACGGAATCAGGGCAATGTTCACACTGATTGAACAACAACTGATTGGGGAAAATTAAGGCCATCCTGAGTTACCAACATGGTCACACTTTTTAAAAATTTGTTTATAAAAGAGGGTTTTACCTGGAAAGTTGTGGTTTTTACTTTGTTTGCTTGTTTTTTTTTTACATTCAAAAAGTCCTTATAAGCTTAGAGCCTCTAAATCCTAGACCCACAGTAATTCCGCCTACACATCCCCCCTTCTTTTGAATAAACAATGTACAATCTGTTGGATTTCTCTATGACTTTTTTTCATACTTGTGAATCTGTTTGGAAAGAAAAGAAAAAAGAAAAGGGAAAAGACAGCCTTCTGTTTTTCATAATGTCTAATCTTTTTCCCCATTGGCATTCACCAGATGTTGCTTTGGATCGGAAGATAAATATTAAAATCTAAGCAAGAACAAAGCGGGCTGTTTACTGGGCAGATTTTTCAGATGTTCTCTTGAACACTTGAAAAGACAGGAGATGCTTTGATATGCAGGCTGGCTAGAATCCTCAGTGCAACGGTCCCTCCAGCCAGAGTGGTGGGCCTCAGTGTCCATGTCCACCCAGCCCATAGTCGTGACGTCTCCGTCAGTCCATTGGCCATGCATTTGTGGCTAAGGTCAGGGAGGCAGAGGACAGGGTTACCTGATGAAGAGGCCTGAGAATGATGGCAAGACTGACTTTGTCCAACGATTTTGTGCAAAGATGCATCGGGAACATTCTTCGCAAATATAGAGGTAAGGCCATGGATCAGGCAGTCTCTCTGTCCCCACAGCAACAGTCAAATCACACCGCACGTAGGTGCAGCTGAAGGCCTCACAGCTCTCCTCATGCTTCAGGCTACACAGGAAAGCCAGGGACACTGTAGGAAAAGCTCACCATTAGGCTACGAAACAATCGCAGAAAAACTGGCACCTCACACTGATAGATGAACACAGTTCATGGGTGTCTCTTAACCAACAGGAAAATTAAGTTACCAGTTTCCTTTTTGTAAAAATGCAATATGTGTACATAATACATACAGAAGATTATAAGTAAGGTTTTTGTAAAATATGAATCATCATAAAAATTCATGTGAATATACCAGCCAACAAAGCAGTGGAGATGCTCTTGAACCGCGGCAAGCCTGTCACCTTCCTCGTCCTCAGAAACAACCACTTGCATTTTTTTAATAGTTTTCTTACAAAGGTTTGTATTCCTAAAGGAGAGACTGTTGAGTTTTACTTGTTTTTTGAGCTTCCTGAGAGAATATGTGACATAGTCTTGGACCTGCTTTTCTTATTAAATATTATGTTTCCAAGATTTATCTAAATTATCAATGTAACTGTTGCGTATACATTTTTGCTGCTGTTCGATACTGTACTGAGTGAAAGGACTACAATATATTTTATCTATTCTCTTCCCAGTGCACTTTTAGGTATTTCCCAGTTTTTACTACTACAAACATGCACAAATTTCCTTTAGGGTATATGGCTTAAAGAAAATTGCTTGCTCACAGAGTAGATATAAGTTCAACTTTACAAGATAATGCATTATTGTTTTCAAAGTGATTGTGCCATTTTACCCTCCTACCAGCTATATTTATGAGTTTCCATTAACTCACATAATTGTCAGCACTTAAGATATCAGACTCTTAATTTTAGCCAGTCCAGTGTGAATACAATGACATCTCAGTGGTCTTAATTTGCATTTTCATCATTAATTCTTAAGCTGACCAACTTTTTATATGTTTAGTAATATAGTAATACTCATGTTTCTTTTCTATGAAATTCCTATTTCTGTGATTTGCCTTTTTTCTATTGAAATGTTTGTCTTTTTCTTATTTCTTAGTACTCTTTATATATTATGGGTATTAATCCTACAGAGTTTATGTGGTTACTAATACATTCTCCAGGTTTGTGGCTAGACTTCTCATTCTCTTGATGGGAAATCTTAATCAGTATAAGTTCTTAATTTTCACATAATTTTGACTATTAACATTTTATAAAGAAGAAAGACAGTTATTTGAAGCCCTTTGATCATTAGGCCATTTCTTTCTCAATCTTGAGACACTGTGAAAAAAACAAAAAAGGTGAAGGTGGCTGACTGGCAATAACCTTCGACAGGAAGATAAGTCTCTATGTGAGATGGTTTTGGAGCAATTTTGTCTGAAAACCTTAATAAGGTGAAGAATGAAAAAAGATAAATCTCTGTAGCCTTCCAAGTCTACAACTCTCCTGTCCCTGCAGGTACTCAGATGTTACCCAGGACTGTGTGCTTGAACCTAAGCTGCCCTACCTACATCACAGTGCTGCGTGAAGCAAGAGGTAAATGAGATAAGCACATGTAGGAGGATTTGCAATTATTCAATCACGCACAAATATTATTGTTGCTGGTACATTCTAAAGCACCTGACACATAGTAGGTTCTCTGTGAATGTGTTCCAACTGAATTATAGCAATTAAAATGACTGACAGTAGGACTCTCATATGGATAGACAAAACATGAGAACTTTCCAGTTAATGAGCCGTAAAGCAAATAAAAACAGGCTCAACACTTTTAAAATAATGAACTCATTATGGGTGATTAGATGGATCCAAAATGACAAGGTAAGTTATGAAAAGTACCCAAGGCTGGGGATCAGAAGCCATGAATCTTACTCAAGTTTCTGCTACTAACTAGTAGTATGACCTTATCACTTCAGCTTTCCATGCCTCATCGAAAAGTTAAAGTTTCCATGAAGAAGTTGTGCGGTATAATTCAAGATATAAATGCAAAATACCTGAAGCCCAAAGATCCTGCTAATTTTAAACAAATACAACATATTACTTTCACTGAACAATATGTTTTAGCAACCCATCAAGTGATCAAGTAAAATTCTTCATTTATTAGAAGTATAGTTTGGGGAAAGGCAAAGAGAGACAATACCAAAAGCAGCAAGAACCTTTCCTCTAGAGCTCCACCTTTCATGCCCCCTGCCCACCGAGGTAAAGAAAACATTAGTACTGTAACGCTAGAACAAGCCAAACAGTACTTAGGCAAGTTTGAGTTCTAGGCCATCATCTACAACCTGGAATGGGAAACATTGCTTTCTTTATTGTGCAAAGTCAAACTGAAGAACAAAATCAAAGTGGGTGTCAGAACTCAAAGTGACCTGTGTAAATTAGGGAAATGAACAGTAATAAACAAAGACCCAATGAAAATAATAAGGCAGTAAGCCACAGAAGAAAAAAAGAACTCATACACATATAGGACAAGGAAAATCCAGCTGTGCATGAGCCGTGTTAGAAAAGAGAAGAAAAAAAAACCTTGCAATAATAATAGGTAACAGAAAGATTATAAATCAACAAGACAGCGATGTGATTTTAAAAACAAATATGTGGCCAGATTATACAGAGGACCTACTAGTTTTGGACTTCAAATTAAGAAAGAATGTCAAATTCAGAGAGGGCTCAGAAGAGAAATATCAAAATGTTTACGTGGTGGAAAGCTTCTGATTTGGTGGAAAGTAGGGCCCGAGAATTTGCATTTCTAACAAACTCCCAAGGTGATGCAGCCGTCACTGTTCCAATAACAACAATAATAATATTATATTCTCAATAATACCATTGAGAAACCCTGCATTAGAAGGACTGAGATTATTCAGCTTTCTGTAAGGCCGGTTGAAGAAGGCTGAGAAAAAAAGTAAGAGTTGGGGAGCATGCGTTAGGTAAAAGGCCGGACTTCTCTGAGAATGGCAACTGTGAAATACACATAAAGGTTGCTGCTATGAAAGTGTGCTCTAAAAAAATCCTTTTAACTATAACAGATTCTTAACTAAATTGGTCATAGGAAATCCTGTCTGAAAGCAGAGGCATTATTGGTAGTTTTTAATAATTTGTGAAACACACTCCCTTTGACTATTTGATGTGCATTATAGACCTATTTACTAGGGAAAAAATTACACAATTTCAGCATGTTGGTACAACCCCCAAAATCGTCCATATCTGAAGTTAAGAAACCAATAGAGTTGGCTTTCACAAGTTCCTCTCCATTTTTACATACTGCAATTAAAAGTTTTTAAAAACTTTTTTTTTATGAAAGAGGAAAATAAGTCAAATTATCTCCCTAGATTACTATCTCTTGCACATTCAATGAGGGTTTGGTGACACCTAGTGGCAATAGTAAGAGTTACAGCCTCCCACTCACTTCCTCTTAAAAATCAAGGAATTTTGACAAGTCCTTTTCTAAAACTCAGTCAACTCTTTTAAAATACAATGATTCTACTATGCTTCAACTAGAAGTTATCAACTTCCAATACCACAATCTTCCTGACCCTGGAACCTTGGCAATTTTTATTTTTTACATCTAACTGAAATGAGGTGTCTTAAAATAATAATACCAAGGGGTTTAAAAGTTAAGCAGTTTATATGTGGAAGCTTTTTCTTTTTAACTGTAGCAGTATTAATGAAAATTAGAACCTAGAAATGTGGAGTCTTGATGTTTGTTTCCAAGGTTTCCCAATTCCTTCATTTATTCTTTCATCAAGCATTAATTTTGCACATACACCAGGCCAGCTCTGCTCTATGCACAGGAGTCAGAACGGAGAATGAAACAGGTGTCTCCAACTTAAATTCTCTACTTAAGTTAATTCTGTATCTTAAGTTTCCTAATGCAGCATCTTAAGTGGAATAGATCCCACTTCTGTATTTTCTGCTTACATACATGAAAATAGGAAACTCAATTTCTTGTACTTTAAACAAGAATTGCTTCTCTGCCTCCTCTTTTTCCCCCCTCCACCTCCTCTTTTCCCTCCTCTGCCTTCTCTTTTTCCTTCTCCTTCTTGTCTAAAATGATACAGTGCAAACTGCCATCACTAAAATATTGCCCATCATGGAACTTTTGTCCAAGCTCAGATGAAATGACCCTTTTACCATTTCGTCAAGCCTTCACCCACATTTAAGTTGCAGACACGTACATTAGGAATCTGACATAGAGCACCATGCAGAAAGCACAGGTACAGCATCTATGGTTTCTAAGTACACAGGTACAGCATCTATGACTATGCAAACAAGACAACCACCTGATCAAGCTAGTCCTGCAGCGATCATGGTAATTTCTTCCCTTTGACATTTTTTCTGAAGGTCCGTGGGTAATGATCATGTGTTGTACGGACCCATCATGGACTATCAAACCTTTTCACCTTCCTTTCTACCAAAGACCTGGCTTCCCATGCACAGTGTACATGGTGGCTGGGGGGCTCAGAGCAGTGAGAAATCGTGGCAGTTTACTGAATAAGGGCTCAGGTAATTACCCGGACATTACAGAATAGGAAGGGAATGTTCACAATGGCTCTTTTGTCTGTCATAAGAATTCAAGCACTGAGAACACTCGGCCAATATGCAAGAGATAGCCAGCTGGATGATCTAACCACTTCCCTAGCACCTCCAGTAGGCAGATGTTTCCAGCAGCCCCACCTCAGAACAAGACCAAGGGATTCTGTTCTCAGCAATGCCTGGGGCTGTCAGCGAAACTAGTATTTAGAATTCAGGATTGTTTGCTCCATCATCAGATGACTACAGTCAAGAACACAGGTGATAAAGTTTTCATTGTCACGTGACAAAGTTATTATGAACCATTTTAATAGGCACGGTCCCTGATTCTAACTACCATTTTAGATGGGGAACAGAGAAATTCTTTTCCCAGGACCACATGGAAAAATTCAAAGTCAGTACAGCATTAATTATAAAAGTGGAGTTAACCAAAGAACATCATTTTCATATGTACTCTTTTTTTAAAAAAATGTGGCATTTTTACTGACCATCCAGGGGCAGAACCAGGCAGCTGAAGGCAGACACTGTAGCATTAGCCAAGACTTGGCAGGGCGCGCCACACACGGCAGCTGAGATGTTCCCTGGAGAAAACCCTGCTCCAAACACATGCACGAGCCTTCCACCCAGGCAGCCTTTAAAACAAAATTACAAGTCCGTGATCATAGAGGCAAATCTCTTTTTCCACCAAGTCAAAAGTCAAATCCACGCTTTCATGCTGCCATCATTCTTACTATGCCCTCCGGAGTCCACACAACTGGCTCTAGGTTCCTAATTTCCTGAGTTTCTTCTCATTTACGTCTGGCTTCCAGAGCCTAGTGTCCTTGTTCTGTCAGAGCCCAGTCAGATCCAACAACCAAAAATATAATAGTTTCTATATAGAAAATCAATGTTTGCTTAGTTTTTAAATTTTTTATTCAGAAGAGTATAACATGAAAATAGTTCTTCTAACCACCTATATCACTCCCCAGAGGTAGCCATATATAGCTGCTTATGAATCCTTCCAGAATTTTCTAGGCATATCTATTTCTTATACAAGGAGATCTTTCTATACATACTCTTCTAGACTTGCTTTTTTAATTAAAGGTATAGTGTAGACATTTTTCCAAAACGATACAGAGAGAGACCTTGTTCATTATTAAAATTCTATTATGGGATTACAGAATTCATGGGATTCCACCGTATGACTAGGCCATAATTTATTTAGCAATTTTCCTATGGATTACTACTTTAATAATTTCTTCCCCTCTCTTGCTATAATGAATGGTGTTGCCGTGGATATACACTTATTTGAGTAAAACTGTTGCAGATTCTTAGAAGTGGGATTTCTAGGTCAAAGGAAAAGCAAATTTTTCTGTTGATGGATAGTGTCAAATTTCTCTCCAAAATAATGTTGCACCCATTCACACTCCTCCCAATCCTGTATGAGAGCACCTGTCTCTGACGGGTAAAAGCAGGATCATTCTTAACAGACATATTCCGCTTCAGTCTAAGAGCCCATAAAGCTGAATGTCACCTGGACTCTCAGACATGCCAGCATCCTATAGTCCCCACTGACACAGAGTTCCAGTTTCTACTGTCTTCATGTCAAGTCTAGGTGGTACCTGCACAGTCACCAGATTAACACAAGAACAACACTTGGCTTAGGATCCATTTCATATCCCTGCTCTCACCACAAAAATCATGGAATCTTAAAGCATAGAGGGGGCAGCTAGGGAGCCTCCAGCCCTTTATCAAATAGAGAAGCTGAGGCTTATAAGAGTCACCCAGGTAAGTTCCTGTCACACTCGGGACCAAAATCTCAATTCCCACAGCACGCCACCCAACTGACACCAAACAAATTTGTTTGAGAAATGGCTTGGCTAGTATTTCATCAGTGTAAGATTCGGCTCCCAAAATTTCCTCTATAGTTTCCGCATCACAATCAAATGTGAGCTATCTCAAGGGCAGCACGGCCTTTGAGGGAACAGAAACTAAAACCGTCATTGGGAGAAAAGGCAACACAAATTTCAGTAGTTCTAAAAGGAGAAAAAAGTTCAACCAATGGAATAATACTTGCAATTGTCCTGTGATTGGTGGACTATGAGTTCACCTGTGAACTATTACAAAATGATAAAAATTAATCATACTTAATAAGTTTAAAATAATTCAAACTGGCATACAGGCCTAAAAAAAGGTGAAGGCACTCATGTTCTACTTAATTGTCAAATTATGAACTTTTGTAAATGGTATTATATAATTTAAAACACAAATAAAATTGGGTTAATGTATCAAATTAAAATACAATCTCACACAGTCAGAGAATATGCACAATTCCCTTGACAAAAACAAAGCCTCATACATGGAGCAGGGCAGAGGCGAGCTTCCAGAAGACACTGGTACTGTGAGAAGCCAAGTGGACTCTCTCCTTCGATGGCTCAGATTGATGTCGATTTCCTGCCTCTAGAATAGTGAGAGTGGCTATTGATCCACTTACGTAAAGAAAGCGCCCTGTCTTATTGGCTTGACTTACCATAGTTCTCGGTCACGGCTGTAATAGTCACTCTGGATGTGAACACCAGGTCAGAGGAGGCCCCCCCTCTCACGCGGTCGTAACCCCTGACGTGGTACTCCCCGGCAGGAAGGGCGGGCACCATGCACTGCAGGACCGTGCGGTTGCCAGAGACACCCACACAGGGTGACGGCCCAATAAAAATGTCAACATTCTTCGCTCCTGAGATCTGGGCCACCGCAAAGGTTAAGACATCATCCGTCCGAGAAATAGAGAGCAGTTCTGGGGTGAAGGCACTGCTGTAAACAATGACTCCCACGTGGTATGAATGTCCATCCACCCTGATGTCCAGAACAGCAGAGCCATTCCCCGCGGGAACGATGCAGCGGACGAGCTCAGCACTGATGTTCACCGCCAGGCAGGCCTGCTGGCCAATGTACACGACCGTGCTGTTCCGTCCTCGCAGGGCTGAGCCCTCCATGCTCAAGAGGCTTCCGCCATGAATGCTGAAATTCTTGGGAGAGTAATGAAACACTTGAGGCATGATGTTGAAGTGCCTAGAAACATTACCAAAACAAGCATCCCCATTTCTTGTACGTAAAGCTGATAGGTAGTGGGGTCCTGGAGCCAAATCCCTGACCCAGCACGCCACGAGGCTGGCATTAAAGGAAGTCACAGTGCAGAGAAGATGATCGTCCACAAACACCCTGGGTTCATCGGCTGTGGTGCCTAACCTCTGACCCCTCACCAGCACTGTGGTCAGGGACCCCCTGATGCTAACGGTCAAGGCGTCCACAACAGGCGTTGTCTCTTCCCGCAAGAAAAGAGTGCAGTTTCCCTGGCACTTGCCGGGTAGCCCATTGACCAGGACTGTGATGTTCAGGGTGAAGGAAGCATCAGGCCAGGGGTCTCCCACCATGTCCATCTGGCAGATGACTCTCTGGCCCCCCAAACTCAAAATCACACAGGTAAAAGGACCTGAAAATCCAACCTGGACTGACCTCCTGCTAGAGCTGAGGGCCAAGCCCCTCACCGTGAGCGCCATCCCACCACAGGCTGACCCATGCGTCGGGAAGATGGTCGTTATCTGAGGCATCACCACAAACCGCGGGGGCACCGCAGACATGTTAGCAAGCCCCATCCGCTTCTGACGTACTTGGAAGGGATAGACGCCCGCCTCCAGACTGCGAAGAGGCAAAGCGCACCCAGATAGGCTCGTGTTGCTCCTGAAAATCCCGAGATGGCAGCTCAGGCCCCCCAGAATGATTACCGAGTCAGAGAGGTTACTTCCTTGCACGTAAAGCATCAGGCTGCTATCTGTGATTTCTCCCCGCACGGCAGTGACCACCGGTGTGGCCGCGGCCTCATACGTGAAGGTAAAGCCTTTTCCCACCAGGCGTGGGGGAGGTCCTCGGGTGGAGGCCACGTTGCCAGCCCAGACCTCCACGGGGGCCGGGACAGCCAGCCTGTCTCCATCAGGCCGAGGCGGGGCAGGCGGGGTCTCACACCAGATGTTGGTGTCTGTCGAGTTCACGATGTCACAGGACCGATTGCCCACAAGCACCCACGCCAGAGCCGGGTCCCTGCTGAACCCCATTCCCGAGATACTGAGGACGGTTCCACCTAGAGCATGAATATCAGAAACAAAACTGAGGAGCTGATATCCAGACTGGGGGCTCACAGCACCTGGGTGAGCCCCAAAGGCAGCCAAGCGGAGGGCGGGTGTTGGTGACACCTCAATTATTTCACCTCACCCCATCATTGCTACATTTGTGATCATTTCAGCAAGAGTTAGATGGGCTAAATTCATATAATAGGAAAACCATATAGATTGTTATAATGAAAAGATGTTCATGATATTCAGACAAAATTTTCTAGTATGTTTATAGATCCTAGGTGCCACCATTTTTATCAACTTATACACTAATGAAAAATCAAATTTGTTAAAGTCTTCTACATATATTCTATATTATTCTATATACTATTCCAACATTCCATGTATTAGTCATATGTGTGTGTATAAGACATATCAAAATATATCAGAGCCACTGAAACACTGAGACATGCTTGTGATTCCGCTGATACATTCAAAAACTTTGTCTTACTCTCTAGTTGGGGGACAACCAAACTCTATCTTCAGGACAGGGGTTGGAGCAACGTACCCCATATCATTACCAACTCTTGGTATAGCCAAACAGCTTTAAAAAGGATTTTCCTGTACTCAGAAAAGGATAACATGCTATTTTATACACTATCACAATGATTATTCACATGCAAATATATAGCTTTCTGCAAATGAATCGTTGTCTAGATTTCCCCATTTGTCTTATCCTTTCATCTCCCATATTGTCATTTGCGTCTCTGACTCTTCCTCTGCGACACTAGAAGAAAGTAAAGGCACCTAAGACTTACTCCTCTTCCCCACGCACATGGACTATCCAACCAGCCAAAGCAGGAAGTTCTTCCGTTGTTGCTCTAGTATCCGTTTGACAGGAGACCCAACAGACACTTCAGCCTCTTGCCATTAGAAAGAGAAAATGAGGCACATCCACTTTTCATAGAAATGCTATAATTTCCTGAGCTTTCTGGGCTAAGGAATCACTGGGTTTGCACACCCTTCGAAGTACACCACTCAGTTCCCAGAGCACGAGGACACCTCCTCTCCCTGCTGCCCTGTCTCTGGTCTTGCTAGCTAATTAATCTAGGAACAAAATCTGAATAACCAGTGAGTAGACATGCTGGATAAATGATATCAGTCCCGTCAGAGCCACTTACCCAGAAGGGACCCACAGCAAGGCTCAATGTTGAAAACTTCTGTGATATACTGGATGTGAAGATCAACCCTGCAGAAATGGGGAGATGGTTAGGAAATAACCGAGAGAGTCAGAAAAAGAGAAGGGAAGGGATAAGAGAGAAGCAATGTATGTGTTTGGGGGAAAAGAGAGACAGAGAGCAGTGATGGGGAGCCAAGTGTGAATGGCCCATCCTAACAGAGAGAAGGGAAACGGTGGGGGAAAGGTGTGTGGGATCCTTTCCTGGGCCAGTACCGTGTGGTAGCACCAGTCCGTACAGTTCTGCTAACTTTCTGGAATGAGGAAATGGAACCTCTGGGGAAAATACCGGGTAGAGGGATCTTCAGAGTAAAGATGATGTGAGCATGGCTTGTGCAATACTGTAAGCCATTTATTCAAAGTCCAAGACACAATCTTATTGAAGGCCTTATTTAATAATAGACTCTTCCTAAAGCACCGACTCCTCTCCCTAGACATACAGATGCCCACCCCACCGCCCACCTTCCCCAACCAAGAGCCATGACCTCTCAGTTCCAAAAAGTTTTCTGTTTCCCAATTGGTAAACCAGAAATGTCCCCTGAATTGGTCTTGAGAATAAACAGTCCTGTAGGGTCTCTAAGATTTGTCCAGATTTTATGATTCCCATGTGTTTATCCCTCAATTTCAGAAGAAGGGGAAAAAATGTAAAGTCCTAACTCAAAATCAGACTCCCTCAGTGGAATCACTAGACGCTCCAACAGACCTACAATGAAGGGTCACCTCACCCTTGTGAGTGAATGTTGATCCCATTGATGGAGACTGAGATTCTGTAGAGACCGGCAGGCAGAGGGGGCAGCACCACCTCCAAGCCCCGAGCCATTTGCACACCAACTGGAGCCCAGGTATCCTGGATGCGGACTTCCACACCCAAACCTGTGTCATTCGCCAGCAGCACCATGCCGATGAAAAGGGTCTCACCTCCTGTGTTGGAAAAATATCCATTAGCCTCGGTGATAATGGGTTTGTGGCCTCAACCACCCATTCAATTCTAAAACTGTCTTTTAGGATTAAATACACAGTCAGCCCTGTGCATAATACTCTAAAGAGCTCTAGGGCCAACCTAACTTTTTTTCATGAAACTTCTAACAACTCTTAATAGAGCTACAGGCTATAACCTCAAGGGCATAAAAAGCAAACCTGTCAAGACAATTTTATTCAGGACACACTAACTTATCTCTATGCAGAGGCAGATTCAGAAGTAGTTTGGAGGGCTGTCTTCATAACCACCAAATAGCACCCCATGTGCTTTTTTTCCACTGGTACATAAGTACTTCCACTTTTCCACTGGTAGAAGTCTAAAGCTCTAGTATCTTCTAGAACTCTAGTATCTTCTAGCATCTTCTGAACCCTGTAATAATGCTGTACACGAGTCCAGCACTTCACAGTTTACAGAGCGCTGTCACATATGCTACCGCATTTGATCCTCACACGATCCTGATGACATATTTGGCTCAGTTAGTAGGACTGACATTGAGCTTTTGAGGGAATTAAGGTTTAGCAGCCAAGGTCTCGTAACTTCTTAATGAAAATGTCAAGGCCTTAAACCCTATCTTCTATTTCAGCACCTTTCTCACTTAATTAGCAACTAACTCTCCTAACTCAATTCCTTTTGCTACAAATATTTATTGGGTACCAAGAGGGAGATGTGCATGTGACTCAGAGCACAAAAATATGTTAAACACACACCCTGCCCTCAAGTGTAGTAAAATAGATGCAGACATAGTTTCAGTGCAAGACATGCCATAAGAGAGGTGAAAATTAAACAGTGACATTGTTAAAATCAGAGCAACATTCTCAATATCAAGAAAAACTTTATGGGCAACAATGTGCTTAAAATTCAGTTTGGAAGATAAATCCCAAGAGGAATTGATAGAGAATAGGCGATTTATCCAGATTTTATGATTTGAGGGGTGTTCTACCCCAATTCTAACAACTTCACATTTTCACCCTGTCTTTTGTAGCACTTTCTCAGTTAATCATCAACTGGCTTAGAGAGAAGGAAAGAGAATCAACTGTCTGGAAGACCAGGTACATGTCCATACAGTTAGGGCATCTATGGGAATGGGCCAGGCGATGGTGGTTCTATGGCCAAAGACCAAGAAAGCCACTTAATTCGGTGGACCACAAAGACCCCCAAATGTGTCTAAGGAAAGACAGGATATAATTGAAGCTTTCATCCTATCTGTAAGACCAATTGGAGAGATAAGGAAGAGGAAATCTAGTCTGCAGAAAACTGGAGCCTTAAAGAGAACCAGAAATTAAGTGTGTAATGGAGGAAGCAGAAATAAATACTTAACTTCCCTGGGTCTCCGTGTGCCCACTCAGACACAGTTTGGGCAAAAGCATCTCTAAAGCTCATTTAGCTGCTAACCTTTGAGAACTAAACCAAAGGTGGCACCTACAGAACATCTAAGTCAATTAGATAAGGAGGAGAAGAGGGTACTTGATAGAGAAAAGTCAGAGGAGGGATTGTGGCACATGAGAAGACTGAACATTCAAATGCCTGCCATTTCACTACTGTTATGACTGTGCGTGACTCCCTTTGGGTTCTCAAAGCCTTGGATTTTTCATCAGTAAGAGGGTAACAAAGCCCAGCCCTTTTGGTCTGTTGGAAGGATCAAGTCGGCCATCCTGGGACAGGCTCTAGCACCATACAGCATCAAGAAGCCCTCAATTCACTGCATTCTCCTCCTTGGTCCGTACCCTTTCTACTTCATGTCTTCCCTAACTCGTTCTACTGTGAGATCTCAAGCTTCAGTGTAGTGACTTTGATGGAGTCCAGGGTTGAACAACGAAAAGGACATGACCACAAGGTGCAGTAGCATGAAAACGAGCTTTGGTATGTGGGTGCTGCTTCGACAGGTTTGCACAGTTGCAGAAATCTCACAGCTGAGACTTTCCAGAGGCAACCACAGGAGACCACCCCCAGAAGGGGGGAAGGCATCACCTGGAGGGGAGTGGGAGGGGGCTTCTGTGTTCAGATGATTTCTCCCAGCAGCCCAGTGGGTAGTCTCTGGGTGGAAGAGCTCTGAAGGGTACCAATAGCATAGTCTTGTAGCCCCAGGTCTTCTTTATCTATGGCTTTGCAGGATGGGCAAGGCAAGCAGGCTTTAAAAGACTAAAAGTCTGCCTTGGGGGGCTGTATTTAAAAGAATTGGTTATATAAAAATTTGAATTTGACATTGACAGGTTTTGGAGCTGAGTCCAGCCTGCTGTGAAGAAGTCAACAACATGGGGCTAACAGAGAGCCATTTGGGGCTCATTTATATAACACTCCACATTTGACGAAATGAAGCATTTTTTGAGTGCTTCAACAAAGCATCTATCGACTGCTTACTCCGCACTAGTTCCCAGGCTAGGTACTTTGTCCTCCTTTCTCAGGCTTCACAATAACCTTGGAAGAACTACTCTCACCTAGCAAGTTAAATATCTTGCCCAAGGAGTGGCTGAGCTGGGATGCATTCAGATCCAGTGCTGACTGACTACAAAAACCACACTGACCAGCCTGCACATGATACTTTTCCTCCCCCTTCCCCTGCCCGTCCTCCTCTCTTGGATTTCCATTTGGCTTCACTGTCATCATCAATACCATCATCTCCTGGATGAGACTTTCAAAAAAGACTTTCCTAATAAGCTACCACTCTTTGTAGATTTTATTACACGTTCTTCTTCATTCTGCCTGTAGAAAGATTTCAATGCAAGTATAAATTCTGCAAATAATGCATTATGTTGTAATATACCAATAACATGAACTCCTTGGGCTCGTGGTCAATTGTCAGGCTAATCCTAGATGCCTTTGGGGTGCTTATGCAATGTATTTATTCTTTTCATTATAAGTAGAAAATTTTATTAAAAGCCAAAAATCATGGAAATCTGAATAGCACATGGAGCTCCCTCCTCCCTTTTCTCCTTCATTGGAAAGAATCTGTACCACTGAGGAATTTTATACACTTTGGTTGCCTGAGGCAAAAAATTCTTCTTCTGTACTAACTGAGCTGAATAATATTGAGAAGCTAAAGGACACTTCCCTTTATTTATGCACTGTTGAGCAATGGAAAATCAAAAGAGTGCCAGAAAAATTGAGGCAAGACTTCTTCTTTGGGAAATTTACTGGTCTTTTATAAAATAGATATGGCTGCCATAAACTCTCTATTATCTGGTATTCAATTAGACAGAAAGGTGTTTTACCTGGTACTTATCCAAATCTATATAGTATACATGATAACAAATTATTATAATTCTGTCATATCATCTGAATTATCAAAGATTAAATTGTTTCATGTAGTTGGGTGCTAAAGAATTCATTCTTTTTATACATAGTACATCTCAAGAATTCATGGTTAATCAGAACACCCTGTTCTCTAATCGTTTCAAACAACTACTGCATTAGAACCTGATGCCAAAAATGATATGTTACAGTAAGCTATAAACAGCTGACTTCTTCGAATCTGCAACCAGATTGCTTAGATTGAAGTTACAACTCTGTTACTTACTAAAAGTAACATCTTAGACAAGATACTTACTCTTTCTGTTCCTTAGTTTACTCACTTGAAAACTGAGACTAATAATCCTATAAATTAGTGACAAGGATTAAAGTCTATTGTATGTCTGTGCAATTATTGGCATATAATAGGTGATCGATAAGTATTTGTTGAATTGCTGCCTTTGAATTCTCATGTTATCTATATGATGGAAATAGTCCTAATTTTACAGAGGGAAAAAATAGATATAAGGAGATTTATTCATTGATGGCTAAGATGAAAATAGCAGTCTCCTAGTTTTCAGAAAAATAATTTCCATCCAAAATATAATACTATCTACAATAAAATTAATAGGCCACTCTTTGCATTTTTTTGCAGGATCAATGGCTACAGGTAAAAAGATGTGGCAGTTCATGTATTTTACCTGCTATGTTGCTTCTGTTTCTGCTCAAAGACACAATCACTGGATTTAAAGAGGAAACATATGTAAATGCCATTGGAAGAACTGCAGAATGGTCCCCTCCAATCACAGTCACATTCACAATGGGTCCATCTTTGCCCTGAAAAATCAGTTGTTAAAACCAAATCTCTGAAAATAAGACTGAATTGAGAGAAGTGCATATAGAATTAGTTTAAAAGATTACTTTCAAGAAAACTGTTCTTAAAGAGTATATTTACATTCAATTCTCTCTCTCACTCTCCCGCACAAACACACAGTCACAAATACTTAGAATAGGCAAGTCACCATCCAACAGATTAAAAAGTAAATACAAAAGGTTTGCAAATAACACAGCAATTGTTTCTGCAAAAACTGGCAATTTCAAATAAACATCTATACCTAGCTAAACTATCTGTAGAGTGTGAGAATACTTTCAGATACATGAGTGCTCAGAACACATTCCTCCTACATGTTCTTTCTTAGGATGTTCCTCAAGGCATTTACCTCATTAAATAAACAACAGACAAAAAAAAAGCAGAAGATATGAATCCCAAGTAGCAGCGAATACACTGAGGAGAGCAGTCAACGGAAGCACTAGGATGAGATCTGTAGCATAAACCTATCTAGGAAACTGTGAGGTTAAGCAGGAGAACAAAGAACTTCAAGGAAAAAACTAATATTATGGATTTTTTTTAATAAAGAATTTTTATTATAAAGAAGACATGTTAAGAAAAAAGTAGAAACTCCAAGAAAAAAAGGAAAATATATCTTAACTGGTTCTTTTGGCATTGTTGTTTGAAATAGTTATAATAACATAAACATGATTTATTGATTTAACAAAATAATCATATTGCAACTATATTTAAAAGAATGAAAAATGGGTGTTTCAGAAACGGGACTTGAAGAAGGGGGAAGAAGGATAACAGAGCATGATTGTTTCACTATTTTTCTTTTAACCACTGCATGTATTACTTTGACCAAAATTAAAAGTTTGTTTTAATATTTATTCTCTCTAGTAAAAGATATCCAAACAGTACAAATTTCATCCATTAAAATGTTACATACATATTAAAGTGTTAATACCTAGCATTGACCAAGCCTTCAGAAATCAGACACTCTCACAGTGATGGATGGGAGTATAAATTTAAACAGAATTTCAGACAACTGGATAGTACATATCAAAAGCTTCAGAATTTAGTTTAATTTATCCAGAGAAAAATAAATACAACCAAAAATATAGTTATCAGGATGATCAAAACTCTGTTGTTTAAAGTAGGAAATTTTAGAAATTATCTTAATGTCCAATAATAAGGAATAGTTAAACAAATTACAAAACAATCACATATTGGAATTGCACACAGTTTACATATAAAAGCTAACATTTCATAATGTTTGAGTAACTGGATAAAATTAAAATGTATGGCCAGAGATCAAAGACTATTCTAAAGCCTCTCTTCAGAGATCTTTTTTTGTTCAGTAAACAGCCATCTTTTGGAGTCATGGACGTGCTAGAAATGTTGATGACACTGAAGTCAACTCTGAATAGAAAGTTCAACCTCAGCTGTGAGCATGAATCATACCAACTGTACCAGGGAAGGGCCTGGATTCAAATCTTTTAATAGGTTATGAAATAGAAGTAAGTGAATAATAAAGGGAAAGCTAAGGGACTTGTTTTTAAGGGAAAAGGGAAGCATTAGAGAATAACTAGAAATATATTTCATAGCAACCAGACATTCTAGAAATTTCTAAGTTCTACTGTTCACATCAATCACATCAATGCCAGAAAACAAAATTGGTGGTGAAAACTGTTGTTGTTCACTTAAGAGAGAAGTAAGAGTACAAGATACATATGTTTTGCAAACCAACATCCAGAATGTAGACTAGACACATTTATTTATGTGTCACTAATATTCATTAAGAGCATGGACTGGGACTGCCTGGTTGTTTTCTTTTAAAAGAAATAACTGATGTTAATTACAAGTCCCATTGGTGAGTCAGCTTCCCGCTTCATAGCAGAACAGGCAATACAAACAATGCGAGCATACTCTGATGATGAAAAGGTCACATCAGTTCATTTACTTCTAAGAAATGATTCACTGAAAAACTTACACTACATTTCAATAATGGTCACCCACCCAGAAAGAAGGAAATGCCAAAGGTTTCTACTTACCCTGGGTGGAACTTTGCACTGAATTCTTTGTGAATTGCTTGTGTTGACACTGATGGCACAGGACTGAGATCCAAATAACACAAGGCTAACATCTTCCAAGCTAGAGCCTCGAATGGTGGCCCAGAACCCTCCTGTAAGAAAAACAGCATTTTCAAATGGGATACAGGCAGACAAAAATAATTATGCATGAGAGAGAGAAAATGAAATGAAAACTGAACCTTCTTAGTCAAATGCAAGGCATGCTTAGACTGCAGAAAAAGACTGCAGTTAAATATATAAACTGCTATATAAAAATGAACAAATGGGAATTAGAGGACAGAGAGAAGTAGTAACACATCCTGTAGATATTTAAGAATAAAGCATAGAGATACAATACTTTCATATGTCAAAGAAGTAAGGTAGATGGTCTCTGAAAACTCTTCCTGCTCTAGATTTTATCATTCCTGCCAAACCTATAAAACTTACTCTTTTCCTAAGAAATCAAGTTTTAGAGAGTATAATCATAGAAGGAGCTGTGGGCCCAGAGTCAGGGCCACAGACTGCTTTGCCACTTAATGCAGATCATTTGAAGTATTGCCCCTGAATGTACTGGTTCTCACTGCCCTCATCTTTAAATGACAACCTGAGCTCCTCTGGCTTTGTGATTTGATACTAGGCTCTACTCTCTGTGACTGATATTTGTCTAGGTGACTGATATGACCACCCACTGCCATTAGGATTTCTCTACTGACCAATGAAGAGCAACCACAGAAAGCCCTATCTCCTCACCGCAGATACTGGTAAAATGTTGGCACACTTTAGCATTTGGAGGCACAACCCTGGACCTACCTAGTGAACAGAAAGCCCGCTTATTAGTGATGAGGACAATGATTCTGGTCTGCCATTTCCCCAGAGCAAGATACAAGAGAGGACATGTACCAAATAGAGACATGTACACTTTGAGAGTGGGAAGTGGGTGCACGAGCAATGTTATCCTCCCTAAAGTGTGTCAGGGTGAGAAAGAGGAACTTATCCAACCTAATGAAAACCTTTCAGGAGCTTGAAAGTGGATTAAAATATACCCTGTAGTTAAATATATAAATTTTCCCTAAAGATTCAGGGCAAGTCTACAGTAGACTTCAAAGTTGGAGAATAAAACTGAAAAAAAAAAACAGCCAATTTATAATAGCAACATAAGAGATACAATATCTGGAAATAATCTTGACAAAAAAATTCAAAAATATGAAGAAATTTGGCAAAAACTTTGAAATGCCACTGAAGAACTTGACAGATTAGAACTTAAATAAGCAAAACAAAATAAGAGGTAGAAAAAGTGAACATCATAAAGGCAACATGTCTTTTGAAATTATACTAAATCATCAATGCAATCCCGATAAAAATATAAACAGGATTTTTTACTTAAATTAGACAAGCTGATTTTAAATACAATGAAAAATAAACAACAAGAGCCAGAATAAAAAACTTTAAAAATTAGAGTAAAGGAGTCTCCTTCCAGACATTAAGATATCTTATAAAATAACTATAATTAAAATGCAATAAAAACACAGCCAGACAGAAAAATGGAATAGAATAGGAAGTTCAGAAAAATATAGGCTATAGGAAGTGATAAATATGGCACTTCATGTAAGTGCAAAATAGATGGATTATTTATACAGTAAATAAAATGAGTAGTGTTGAAAAAATTAAATCTGAATTCCTGTCTCACATCCTCACCAAAATAAATTCCAAATTGTTCAAATATTTAAACACAAAAGAAAAGGATTAAAGAACTAGAAGGAAATAAGGTAGAATTTTTATTTTTATATAATTTTAGAGATGGAAAGCCCATAAGTATTTCACACTCTGAAGCCATTAAAAAAAATTGACATATTTACTGTGTAAAAATTAAAATATTTATGAATTACAAAAATAGTAGACATTTAATCAGTTTGTATCCTTAACATATAAAGAGCTCTTAAAAATAAATAAGAAAGTATTACCCAATTGAAGAAAGTAGACTAAAGAAATAAATAGAAATTTCACTGAAATGAAAATGTAATAACTCTTGAATGCATGAAAAGATTTTCAATTTCTCTCTTAATAAAATAAATGCAAAGTAAAACTACAGTGAAATGTTATTTTTCTTTTATAAAGATAGGCAAATATCAAAAAGTTCGGTAACAAACCATATTAGTAAGATGTAGTAAACAGATACTTATGTATATTGCCACAAGGAGAATTATGCAACCTCTAAAGAGCCTGTTTTGGTATTATCAAAATTTTAAATTGCTTGACCTAGCAATCCCACTTCTAAGAAGTTATACTAATTTTTCACACATTTGCAAGATGGAAAAACTCATATCCATATACAAAAGAATGAAGTTGGACTCTGTTTTTGATTGAATTGTGTCCCCCAAAACTTACAGGCTAAGTGCTACCTGTCAGTACCTCAGAATATGACCTTATTTTGGAATAGAGTTAATTA